AAAATTGAATACAATAGTGTCGTGATACAATGTAGTGATGCAATGTCGAAATTAAATGATGCGGTTTCGAAATGAGGTAATACAATGTCGAAATGAGGTGTAAGATACATCTGCGCATGCGTTAGTTTACGCATACTTATTTGCGTTAAATAAACTAGCCCGTTAAATAAGTAGTTATAAATAAGCATGCTTCATCAGTCCTTTTTTGGATTAAAAATCAATATTAATTACTGCATATTAAATTACTTATCAAGAGAACGCACCTGTTGTAGTTTTTTTTTAAAAAAGATAACCTATGATCTTTCTCAATTCATTTCAAAGATTCAAAAAAAAAACTATAACATTTTATTTACTAATAAAAAAACGCAAATAGAAAAAGTTATTTTCACCCCACACACTAATTTAAACTATTTATAAAATGATATTCATATTTGCTTCTTAAGCAAAAATCAAAATAAGGTTTTTAAAATGCAAAAAATACAATATAAGAACATTTTTTTTTTATAAATTTATTTAGGTGCCCTATGAAGTCCTTATGGTCTTATCACAGAGCTCCACAAATGAGCATTTAATTAGTGGTTCACGCCTCCTTCCTAACCGATATCGCAAAACTTGCCCAAAGGTTGGGTTTGAACCGCGGATTCATTGTTTCTGAGGCAATTGCGCTACTACTGCGCCACGGCTACTCAACATATTTCTGATAATTTGCAAAATAATTTAATGCCACATATGAAAAAAGTTGCTCTAGCTCTTCCAAAACATTTACACTCATATGTATAGCCAAGACACGGGGGGAAGCCACCTTTTCTAAAAGACTTTTTTTTCTTTTTTTTTTTTTTTAGAAATTTCTAGATACGGAGGATTTTTTCTTAGAAATTGACGATTGTGCTCCTCCACTTCGAAACCCGTGTTTTTCGTCCTTGATATAAAAAATAATTTAGGTGATTAAAAGAAAAAATCAATTGAAAACAGTAGTGGGTATGCCAAAAATATAATTATTATAAACAATACATATAAATTGTAAAAATTTATTCGATAAAAAGAGATGTACATTTATTTTTAGAGACCAAATGTTTTCTTGGATGTTGCTTTTGCCACGAAATCTGTTCCCATTTGAGACAACCTGTTGATGACTATAACAAATCCCAATTCTAATTACCTTTATTCACTTACCTGTTTTTTTTTACACTCTGGTATAATTCTGCCAACACCCTTAATAGCTAAATTACAGACGCTTACTTATAACATATTTCTAGAGTTCCATTCACCTGACCAAATCTTTGACAATCTCACTATATTAATATGGGTAAATTTATCTGTATTGGTAGGAAAACTAATCGCCCCCAAAAAAGTATATCTTTCAGGCGCTGCTTTTTTTTTTAACATGTTTATTTCGCCTTCTACAATAAATACAATTTTCATATATATAAACAACAAAATAAATAATGGCTGGAGCAAGAAAAATACAATTCTGTCTAACCAACGAGCTCCATTTTTGTAAAATTGTGATTTATAAATATCATATTATATTGGCGCAAATATAGTTAGTAATTGCAAAAATGCTTATATTATCTGTAGTTGCAAAAAGAAAAAGAAGACAGCTGCTGTTGCAAAAAAACGATTATATACTTTTAATAAAAAAAAAAAGACAAAAAAAAAAAGAGATATATACATATATTTATAGTGAGAGAATAATATCATTAATAAACTTTGTTACGGTGGGTTGCGATAATAACATTCTTTTAAAATAATTTTTTTTTCAAGTTATCTTAGCAAAGTTCACATAAAAACATAGTATACATAAAAACTAAATTTCATGTAGATTTATTTTATAAATATTTAAAGCTCCAAGTAAACACAATAAAGATCACAGGGTTCTGCTCTATTTTTTCCGAATATAATTCGACATGCATGTTTTTGATTAGTATAAAGCTTTTTTAATTTTGTATGGTTAGTACTTGCCAAGAATTGACTTTAAAAACTTTAACAAAAATGTATTTGTGCAACATGCTCCCAACCTTTCCTGGAATCATTTTATTTAAAAGATGATAATTTATATCAACCATCAGCTTTGTTTCTAATATTGGTTCTACATTCTTTTTTAAACTTATTCCAGAAAATCTTTCTAAGTCTCTTAGTATTGTTATAAATAATACTGAGAGGCTTAAAACAACTCATTTCAAAATGATTAATTTTCAGATGCTTTCAATCTTGCTATCAATATTTTATAGTATTATTATTATTATTATTACAATTATTAATTATTTCAATATTCAAAAAAGGATCTACAATGGATATGTATAACTACTGACCCATCTAACTTCTTTCCTAACCTAAGCAAAATTTTTGAAAGGCTATGCATAAAAGGCTATGCATAAAAGTAATACTGGATAAATTTAAATACTTTTACAAACACCAGTATTGGTTTTGTGCTAGTCACTCCGCAACCCACTCATTTATTAAAGTTATTAAGTCAATTAGAAAAGGTTTTGATGAGAAAAAAGTTGCACGTGGTGTCTTTGACAATCTACAAAATGCCTTTGATACAGTAAATTATCCTACTCAGAACGTTAAAATAATATGATATAAGAGGAATTCCTCTTAAATGGTCTTCTTAACTTCGTTAATTTAGTTTAATAATAGTAACTTGTTCATTATAAAAAAAATCTTTAAAAAAAATTAACAAATACATTAACCATCTTGTAAATCTTTAAAAAAAAATTAAGAAACAAATTACCCGGTGGGAAATCGGTTTGCGAATAGCAAGCTATAATCGTTACGATAAAGACAGCGAGGATCGCTAGCTTTTTTAAGTTAGCGAAAAGCTATCGATATTTGTGAAGATAAAGACAGCAATTTGACTACGAGGGCAGCTAGTTTAATAAGCTAAAGACTCACAGGCTATTGAAGATGCCGTCATATCGTAATAAATTCGCTATCAAAAAAATTTTGGTATATAGTTATCAACCAGCTATAGATTTGTAGATATTTTGTAGCTAGCAACAAAGCTACGATATGTAGCTAGCGACACATTGCTATAAAATCGCAATGTTTAAAGTTCAATTATTCTCATAATTATAATAGACTCAACACTAAAAATCGAATTTTTAAAGATGTTAGAGACATTAGTAAAGAATAAAATAAAAATAAAAAAAATCGCTTGAAAATTGCTATAAAGCTAGCTAGTCGCTCGCTAGTCGCAAGCTCATTTTCCACCGGGTACCCATTTTGTAAATCTAGTTTAGTGTCTTCGTTTAAATTTCTTTCAACTGTAGTAAAAATGAATTTCTTATATTCAAATATAATAAATCTAACTAAGCAGATCTTGAAAATCTGGCTAATATTTGCCATTATATTAATCTGGAAACACTCTTAAGCATATACCATGCTATTTTGGGGTCTCATATACGAAATGCTTTTCAGATATAAGGACTTACCCAACAGCAAGCTATTACAAGGGTATCTCAACTTCAAAACAAGACATTAAAAATAATGAACTTTAAGAATTGCAAATCCTAATGTGCTTTATCTTAGTTTTCAAGATTCTTAAACTTTGCGATCTTGTTCAACTCCTAAATTGCCAAGTTATTATGGATTTTCAACACAAAAACCTACCTCTAAGCTTCAACAACCTTTTTCTTAGTGAATGTAACCGTTACTTTATTCTATTAAAAATCTGAGCCTACCAGTCTTAAAATACCGTTCTTCTACTTATAGACATAATTCCATAAAATATCAAAGTATGAAATTTTGGAAAACCTAACCTTTGACTTAAAGCTTTTCCAGTCAAAATTTGCTTTTAAAAGCAACATATTTCACTCCATACAAATTAAATACAGTTAATATATTCAAAGTTATGTGTATGTATATAGGTGTGTATGTGTATATTTATATACGTGTATTCTAGTATTATAAAATTACTAATTTTTTGTTACGATTGTTGTTATTAATATTGTTATTAGTGTTGTCGTTTTTATTATTATTATTTAATCACAAAAAATGCAATTTAATAAGCTGTTGATTTATTTTTTCACAATATCAAAATCTAATCTATAATTTCTCGGGTCACTGATTCCCTGATTTCCTTACTCCTTAATTCCGTTTCGCGTTAACAGTTAATTATAATAATAAAAATTAATTATTTTCACGCGCTTAAAGTAATTAATCAATTAGTTTCGACGTCATCATCCGGTGAAACATTTTAATATCAGTTTAGACATTTTAAAAAATCAAAAATTTATTTAACTACAGAATATATATTTGTATGATTTTTAATAAATATAATTAATCTTAATTCTAGATAAATTATTTTTTAAACAACTTTTATATCATTGATCGCAAATTAAATAAAAATTTAAAAAATAATGGTTGCTAAAAACGGGTACCACTGGTGCCCCTGAATTTATTATTTATTAAGTAAGCGTAAGGTATATATTTTTTTTTGGATTTCTCGGTTTCGATTTATTTCTCAAAATAAATAAAACTTGTGTAAATGATTGCTCAAAACGGGGGTTCGCATAAATTTATTAGTTTAATCTACAGTTTCCGTACTCAAAATCTTACGTAGATTTATTTCTCAACTAATAAAAACACTTTTTATAAATGTTATATTTTTTGGATTTCTGGGATTACAAAAATAACTTTTATTATTATTAGTTTTTTTTCAATCAATATATCTCACCATAGCATTAACATTTTATTTTCATCATATTATAAATTATTATTTAAAAGTCAAAACAATCTTTTCTTCAATAAAATTGGATAAAGCGAGTTTGTTTTAAAATCTTGCACAAACTCTCTGAATAGATTAAAATAAAAAATTTAAATTTAAATTTTAAGGAAATTATACTAAGTAAACAAAATTATTTGTAAAAAATGCCATAAAAAAGTACACTTTTGTCAATTATTCAAAAGTAATTACTTCCGTTATTTTTATTGGTATATACATGCATAAAAATTTCTTTACAGGAAATGGACATAAAATAAATCCTTTCTGCATGTTATTTGGCATTGATATATGTTTTAAACTAACAGTTTGATGAAGATGGTTTGGACGCCTTGTATGGAATCCCAAGCATTCTCTACATTAGAAAATACTTACCATGTTTTGAAAAACCATTCTGATCACAGTCAACAATACTATCCAGAAACAGCGGCCTACTGTGCATACAATGGCATACATCATCCAGATGTTCTCTACACCGAGAGTGCTTCACCACACTTTGAAAATTCAGTTATTAAACCTTGTATAACATTGACAGAGTCTTCGGAGACGAATTTTATTCCATCTTATTATAATAGCGTTCCTTTATATTTTCCTAACTCTTCCATGATGTCATCAACAAATATTGATAGTCTTTCTGGTTACTGTAATCCTGAAATTAGTGGATCTACCATTGATCTTAATCAATTAACTTATGAACAAATTACTCCAACATCAAAAAGCTATGCATATGAATACAACGGCTTGAATCATGGATGCTCGCACACTGGTATTGGTAATACTTTCAACGGTAAATATACTCTTTATGACTAATTTTTTATAACCTTTTTTTACTTCGATTTTAAAAGCTAAGTGTTTTTGCTTTAAAGTTTTTGTAAATGTAGTCAGTGTTGTACGCATAGAACAAATCAGCATAAATCAGACTCAAAGTTGAACCAGAATACTCAAAATCTCCATCAGAAGACATAGAGTTTCTTTTTCCATGTGCAAATTTTACATGTTAAATTTTGTTGTAGTTTTTCTTAAAAGTAATAAAAATATAGTTGTAGAATAGTAAATAGATATTTTCAAAATGTTCTAGGTCGGACTGGCACTGAGGGGCCCGGGGGTGGGGAGACATAGATAGGGCCCCTATTGTAGCATAAAGTTTAGCAAAAGTTAAACTCTTAAGCACATAGTTTTTTGTTAAAAGGGTATTTCTATATCTTTGACCATGCACACCGTCCATCAATTTATTGGACACGTTTAAAAAATAAATCCATATGCAACGTTTTAAAAATATTAGTAATTCTAAAATGCCGCGTTGCACCACTTTATTTTTTTTTTAATTTTTCTTATTGGAAAATGAGAAATTTTTTAGATTAACTCATTACACTGTAGTTAAAGCTGAACTCCAATTATATTTCACTATTTATTTTTTATAAATACTGAAATATAATGTTTACTAAAAAATAATAATACCTTAAATAGTAAAATCTTCAGCCCCATTAAATATTTCTGGACCCTTCTGGTTGGGAAGAACTTCTTATAAGCCAGTGCTTTTTATTATACTTATCATTACGTTTTCAATGTCTAAATAAAATAATCATCATAAAAAGGGGGGCCCAAAATTTTGCACTAGCACATTTTTATCCTCTCCAGGGTCCTGGGCTTATATAAAATATATACGCGAATCATTAAAAAAACACGAAGTTTAATGTTTTTTTGTATTAAATTTATCTTTTACTTAAGATAATTTACTATACTACTAATAAATAATAATATAAGGCTGCTTTACGATGTCTAAGTATATCTTATTAAACATTTCATATTTCAATCGTAGAAATAACCATATCTATTGTATTGTCTTTGCAAAATTGATGCATATTAACATTAGTTAGGTATTATTAATTTGATTTTTGTGTGTGTTTTATTTGTGTATTTTGATTAATAATGACGCCCTGGACGTTCAGACATAGCAGGGTCCGAAGGAGAGGGAGGGGGAATCCCCTCAACCATTATCGCCAGTCCGACCCTGGAAATGTTTCATTAATTTAATGACTTTTGATTATGAATTCTGTTTTTTCTTTTTCAGATATTTTGGTAATGAGTCAGATTCAAACAAAACATTCAAAACGAAAACGAATGACTTATTCAAAATTTCAACTACATGAACTAGAAAAAGAATTTAGTTTTAACCATTTTCTTAGAAAAGAACGTCGTACCGAGTTAGCAAAACTACTAAAGTTTTCAGACAGACAAATTAAAATTTGGTTTCAAAACAGACGAATGAAGTTTAAGAAAGAAATAAATAAAGTCAAGCTACGTAACTTGCCTGAAGATACAAACATGTCATGAAAAATTAGCGTTTATGTAAAAAATTTAAAAACACTTTTAGAGTAGAAAAAATAAACATTTTGAAAATTATAAACTATTTTTGTTACTGTAAACAATCTTTTTTTTACCTTGAACATATTGAACGATTTTTAATCATGTTAAAATATGAACATTTAAGATGTTTGTTTTTAAATATGTCATATTCGAAAAAAATTTGACTAAATCCAGAATTTGATACCAAGTTCAAATTTCGTCAAATTTAAGATCTAATTTTAAATTCAGCTTTCAGGCTTGAACTTTATTCAGTTAAATTTATTTTAATCCATTTTTTTAATTCAAATCCAATTTTAGTTTGATACAGTTTTGACAAAGTTTAAAACTCAAATTTGAGTTTTAAATTTCTGAAAAAAATGTAAGTTTAGCGCTATGGATTTTATAAGCATTTAAATAAGAATTCCTGAAATAATAAATGGAAATAATGCCCGAAGGAATCGACGTGTTAGCACTTGGCCAAAGAGCAACCGTTAAGTTAGGGAAAGCTGAAAATAAAGTAAAACTCCGTCTTGTTTGGAAAAGACGAGTTTGATTTTAAAGAAAAACTATAAGTAAGTTAACATGTTTATAAAAAATCAATATTTGTGGACTTATTTTTTAAAAATTTAAGATCTCAGCATGAAGGAAAAATGTCATCCCAAGATCATTTGTCAGATTAAAGTGCCAGCAGAAACAGGACCAAATTATGGAAAGATCCTGTCTACACCAAACTCCAATACCAGTTCTCTGAGGACTCGTATCAGGTTCTTCCATCCAGATGAGGTCAGAATAGTTGCTTTATTTGAAGCAGCATGGGATCAAAAAGGACGGGATGGTACTAAAAAGTTAAATAAACTTTACAACCAAATAGAGAAAAAGAACCAAGTGATTCATTGGATAAGATCCAACTTTTTATAACTAAATTTAAACAAATTTGACATCATTTGGTATCATTCTATTAATATTCCGCTACATCGACTGTGGGTTTGGCATGGGACAACGGCGCTACTCGACTTCCCCCCCCCCCCCCCCCACGATTTTATAATTGATTATGATAGAATACATTATACTGATGCAGAATCATATAAAAACATAGGTCTGAAATCTTGAGGACAGTACTCTAATTTGATGTTAAAGTATAAAAAATAACATTAAAAACACTTATATTATTTTTAAAAAAATTTAAACACTGTGTTCAAAAATTAGGAAGTTATTTTTTTAAATACACAACCCGGTTTTTATTATCAACAAAATTTAAACATATTTGACAATGTTTTCTTTCATTATTTCAATAATGAAAGAAAAAAGATTGCTGCCCCATGCCAAACCTTCAATTGATGTAACAGCACTCCTTTGTGGCAGCAGGCTATAAGAGAGTCGATATATGTACTAAAGTCAATAAATACTCCTATATGTTTAAAAAGTTTTCACTGAAGGCCGCTTAACTGCAAATTTACCCTTTTTAGTTATTTCTTTTTTCTTTTTTTTTTTGTTATGCTTAAAATTAGAAGAAAAATGAGAATATAAATTTTATTGAAACGGCAAAACTGACAGCGATTTAAGTAAGTTTATTACCTATTTTTTTCTAAATAAAATTCCATTTAGGTTGTATTGTTTGTGTTGCAATTGTTGTATTGTCATTGTTGCAATTGTTGTATTGTCATTGTTGCAATTGTTGTATTGTCATTGTTGCAATTGTTGTATTGTCATTGTTGCAATTGCAATTTTATTATTCTTTAATTATGTAAATGAACTTTAATTAAAAAGTTTTAATTAAAGTTTATTTTTGTTTTGTTTTTACTACTTAAGTTGCATGTATGTTATAACTTTAGTTATTAATTGTACTTTTTATTTATTTGAACACTCTTTACTACAATATCTAACCAAATTAAGGTAACGGTGCCTCTAATTGACCGTTTAAGAGAAAAAATTCCGTATGACTCAATCTTTAAGATTGTTTGCCAATTATATAGTCTTTATAGTTCTAATAACTTACCTACTATCTTTTTATATACTGTTAAGTAATATTTTACAAAGTAGGGGAAATTGGATCGAGGGGCACAGTGAATAAGATGCATTTTCTCAAAGAATAGAATTTTGTTCATCTTGATAATGTAATCATTTTATGTGCTCATATATCAGCCATCTTTATTTATAGTTGTTACCACATAATTTTTAACTACCAGTTTTTTGGTTTGTAATTTTTGTTTTTAGTTAACCATAGTAAATTTTCTAACCTTCCAAATATTTGTTCTAGAGATCATGGGTGAAGTAACTTTAAAAATTGAAGTTTTTCATTCGGATTATTGATATTTAGGCTTTCTTTAAGTTGTTTAGCTTTTCTTTTAACAACACTCGTGTCGCAAGAAATTAGACTTGAATTTAATTTGTTATGGTGGGGCACAGTGAATTGGGGTACAGTGAACAGGTTAATTCACTATACTCCATTAATGATCTTAAAGAATAAATGCATGCATTTTTAACAAACAAACTACATGAAAATGAATTTATTAGTTTTATGTTATGAATAATATTTGACTAATTTTTGAATATTTTAATATTTTTATAAGTTTTGTTATCAATAAAACTCTTTTTTTTTTCTTCTCAATTTTCAAAATGTTTTTTTTTTTTCAATTTTATACTAATGTAATTAATAAAACTATGACAAAAATTTAGTTTACAGTGTCTTTACTCCGTCAGCCTCATACTTATCTGGTTAAGCCCCTTTCAATATTATTAATTCACAGCTGTATTTATTGATTCACTGTGGGCAGTACTGGGGCACAGTGAATAACGTAACACAACTCACTTTAAACCTTTCTGTGAGTCGTTAGATAATAAGTGTATAAGTTTTAATAATTTATTAAAGACATATATTTCAATCCTTTCGCCTTGAAAATGATAAAATACATTTTTAACTTTTGCTCAATTTAAAAAATAAAGATATACGATCCACTGTGCCCCAACTTTCCCTAACGCTTACAATATTTTTGTTATTTTTTAATTTTAAGTTGGTAAGTAAGTTGGCTATAGTCATATAGCTATACAATTTTCATAATGTAGTAGTAAGCGATAAAGCTACAGTATATAGCTATTGATCGTGTATCGATATCATTTTAGTTAACGACTTTGTTTGCTAATAAGCTACATTAAGTAGCCATTGACAAGTTTTATATTTGTTGCATTTATTGTTATTATTATTATTGTTATTATTGCTATTTTTATTATTATTATTATTATTGCTATTATTATTATTATTATTATTATTATTATTATTATTATTATTATTATTATTATTATTATTATTATTATATATATATATATATATATATATATATATATATATATATATATATATATATATATATATATATATATATATATATATATATATATATATATATATATATATATAATTAGTAGCTACAAAGCAGCAATATCTAAATATGTTGTAGTAAATTTACAATTTTACAAGTTCAATTATTATTTAAATAGTTTGATCCAATATTAAAAATCGAATTTCTTAAGACGTTTAAAGCAAAATGAAACAATAATGTAAGAAAAAAAATCGCTATAAGATAAGCTTTTCACTAGCAAGTCGCTAGCTCATTTTCCACCGGGAGTTATCTGTCTTTTATAGACGTGTTGCCATTTGGCAACATTATACAATATAGGATTCAATAATATATAGCTTAAGAACCAAAAATATTTTGGAAAAAATATTGTTAATCAAAAATGATCAACAGTTTTCTTAAAAAACTTTACTTGAACAAGACTTTAATTTGGCTAAATATTTTTTCATATGATGTGTTAACTTATATCTTATAGATTGTTTTCCATTTTATGATGTTACTTTAGTAATTTAAAAAGATTGGGCGAGTTAAATCAGTATTAGATCATTTTTTATTGTTGTTCTGGTTTTATATTCTAATGTGTTTAAATTCCCTAGGAATTACAGTAGTTTGTATTTCTTAGTTAGAATTAATTTTAAAGTTGCTAATAGTAATTAAAAAAAAATTATATATTGTATTGGAGACCCAGCTACTACTCAATATTGGAGACCAAGCTACTACTACTCAAGGCAAATGAAGTCAGTAGTATAATATTGAAGTATGAAAAAATACCAAAGTTGCAATTTTTTTTTTTAAAAGATATATATTGGAAACTAAACTGCTGCCTCAGAAAAATTCCAAAATAAACATAAAACTTGACATTAATTTAATTATTATTTTAAATTATTACTTTATTAAAATAACAGGAAATATATCAGAGTACAAATGGTTGCCTGTAGCTTTTTTTGTAGGGTATGTATATCAAATTTTTTAATAAAAAAACATTAATCGAAAAATCGAAATGTAAAGAAGTTCCGTAAAAAATAGCTGAGATGACTAATAAATTTCCTGAAGGAGATCATTATATACACACAATGAAGGAGATCATTATATACACGCTATAAAGGAGATCATTATATAGACGCTATGTTTGTAAAGAATTTAAAATAAAGTTTAAACGTAGATTTAATGGAACCCTAACCGTAGATATACGTAGAACCGTAGAACCCTAACCGTAGTACCATAATGGAACCCTAACGGTAGAAATAAATGGAACCCTAACATAATAGTTTTTACCAATAAAGCATTCAATTTTTTACAGATTCATTTCAAAGATTGCGTAAAAAATAATTTTCATTGGATTGAACTGTGTTGTCTATTTGTTCCCTCAAAGTGTAAAAAGTTAGAAATAATTGATTGTACAAAATTATTGTTAAAAAAAAAAAAAGACTAAATTTTTATTTTTGGGAAATACTGAACCATAACTAATTAAAATAACGAACATCGATTTAAATAAAAATAATTTTTTTTATCAATTTTAAATATTTAAAGCAACAATGTTTCTATAAAATTTCTAAAAAACAAAAAAGTACTTTTATTCAAATCGATGTCAATTATTTTAAACCATTAATCACAGAAAATATTTAGAACTTTGTTTAAAACAATTTTGTTTGGAAAATATATTATTGAATTCCGGAGGATACAAATTCCATTGTTTTTAACTTTATTTTAATAAGGAAAATCGTATAAAAAAATAATCACCACGACAACTTTGACGTACATGCAGCTTTACTATTGCTATTATCGTTATTATCGTTTTTTACCAAAGAAAATATTAAGTTGTAAATGTAGAAGACTATACTGTGTATTGTAACTTGAGACTAATTATTTTAATTTGTAAAAAATATAGTGCTAAAATAACAAAAAGTTATTGTTATTGCCATTTTTATTTTACTTAGAAAACCTAATAAAATTATCAGGTTTTTCAATTTATCTTTACAGATGATGCCAAAGATCTGGAGTTCAAATTTCTAGTAATATATGTTTTTATCGCAAAAACGTAGGCCCGCCTAAAGATAAGAACCTTAATTCAATAAAATTTAAAATGAAATTATCTGGATTTTATTTTTTTATTTTAACTTTATTACTAAACAGAGCGAGGCAGAAATAATGAGTTTTTTCGAAATCATTTTTAACTTTTTGAAAATTCATTATATGAGACATATTTTGTGTGTGGCATTTACGAATTATGATGTATAACAAATATTGAATAATAGATTAATGTGAACGCAAGCCATTAAAAATTAAAACAAGTTTTTAAAATTTAATGACTTTTTAAATATAATATAATTTATAATAATATATAATTTTAAGTTTAAATATTAAATGAGTTTTTTTTTCAAACTTTGGTGAATAAAATTCGAAATAAGTTAAAAATAATAAAAATAAGTGAAAGCAAAATTTCTCATAGAAAATTATTTGCAACTTTTCCAAACGTATCAATTTACATTTAAAATTAAATTTTTTTTAATTTTGTCGATTTAATTTGTTTGGCATCCTTTCTTTACCTGTACAAATATTTTCATTTTTCAAATATTTCTTGATACTTTCAAATTGCAAATTAAATACAAAACTGGTAAGTTTTTTAAACCAACTTATGAATGGACATTTAAAAAAGTTCAATTTAATTTAATTTAAAATATAACAAAAATGTTGACGAGAAAAGCTTCCGTAGACCTCCTTGTGTCAAGTAAATACGCGCGTTTTTCAGTACCATAAAGATTTTTGTTTTCCGTCATTTTAAATTTGTTATTTCTGGCAGTACACAACAGACGCGATCGAAAATAGAAATGGTCGCTTTGTTTTTATTTGAAAAACGGTATAATGTGCTATCAATTTTGTTTTTTTTTTCGTTTTATAACTATATTTTTGCCGAGTTATATGATATCAATAGCATAGCGCTGTATGAATCATCAGAATATGCTCATGTTGAAGAAGGTGTTATTCATGTAGATCCTAAAACATCTCTGAAGTTAATGCTATTTGGTTCTAATTTGAAAAATTATTTTTATTTGTCATTTTCGTTTGTAACAAAAAAGAAAAACGAAAACTGTGACGATGATCGTGAGACTACCAGCATTCCTATATTCTCAAAAGATGGGAAAACTGCTATATTTACTGAAAATTTTGCGGTGAGTTAAGCTATTACTATTAACTATTGTTTAGTCCTTTCTTTTAATTATTATACAATTTAGTTATTTAAACTACTCTAAACTTTTAAATTTTTTTCGAAGGTATAATACTGTATGTTTATTTAATTACATAGTTTGGTTTATTACACATTTTTAACGTTTTTTATTTTATTTATTTTCTTTTTTTTTTCGAAATGGGTGCAAATTATTATATATATTTTTATACAATTCAAAACAATGTTCAATTGTTAATTTAGAAAATTGAGGCTATCAATTTTACTTAATTTCCAAGAATTAAAGCATTTAGATAGTGTGAAATTGTAATGTTTGTAGAACAATCTTAGTTAAAGCAGAAACAGGGGGTGGGGGTGGTTAGGGTTAAAAGTGCTTAAAAGGCCATAATTTAACCTTTTTATAATAAATAACTTTAAATTTTAAATAGTTTTAAATTATACTACACTCTAGTTTTACATTTAACTATTGTTTATTGTCACTGTTGTTTGAGAATCAATATTTTGAGTCTCGTAATTTATAGTCTAGTTGTTTAGTGAGTTCTTTGAATTGATTTCTTTATAAGCATAATTGATGCACTTTTATATATTAATGAAAATCAAATCATATTTAACTTGAAAGTCAAATCATATTCAACTTGAGAGTAAGTTTGTTTATTTTGCTACAGTAGCAATTCTGCAGCGCAACAAAAAACATTTGATGTTTGAAAAAATCCATGTAGCGAAAACCCCAAAAAATCCAAATCAATTACCATGTAGTTTACTCTCTTGAATCTTTTTTTATAGTTAAGCTAAATCCTTGAGGTTTTTGCATCAACTAGTTTGATTCAACTTCTTTCTAACCATATACAGAAAGTAAGAAGTTTAATATGGCTTTATTTATATATTATTCATATCTTAAGACTATTAATAATGAAAAGATTTGCTGTGGACACGTTTTTTTGAAAGTAATTTTTAAAGGTAAGATTTCCTAAGTACCAAAACACATTAAATTTGTATGAAAAATTCTATGTAGATTAAAAAAAAGATAAGAAATCTTATGGAATAGGGAACCTTTTTAACATTTATACATAATTTCTTAGTTCTCAGCGTTTAGAAAATTTAAGATCGGTTTATTAAAAAAAGCAACTTATAATGTGCAATCGTATAATGAACAAGAATTGTATTATGCACAGCAAATTAATAAAATACCTTATATAATTAAAACCAAAATTTACTTAATAATTTAACTTTTAACAATTTACATATATATATATTCAGTAAAGTTACATTTATGCTTTTCCCTTATGCAACAAAATCTTATAATAAGGCCTGCTAAAGCTGACTGGGATTCTTTTTATGATTTTCTTTGTGATAGTCCTTGGACTGACGTCTTTTGTCTCTCTGCTGATAAATGCCTCATATATAATCTCCTGGACCCACGCAGGTATATAGGCTTTTATTCCATCTTGTTGATTTTGATTCAAGTATCGTTATACTTCATGGTTTTCACTTTCTTGTGCAGCTCTATATTTAATTGTAATCATTTTTTTTTATCTTTTTCACAAGAACAACTCTCTGAGAACAAACACTATTTTATTATTGTTAGAAATCAATTTAAAAAGGTCTGATGCTAACCTCTATTATCCCCATTTTATTGAATCTTTCATCTTATCTCAGAAGTTAGACTGTATAGATTTTTGGACATATCAAAAGCTTTCCAGGTAAACCCCTATTGGAACTATTTTCAGAAAGCAACGAACTCTCTACAACAGCTGCTACTAGAGTGTTACGCTGGGCTTTGCTATTGTCAGCTTATGATTACCGATTACTATACTGTCCTGGCGAAAAGAACGCAACTGCAGATGGTCTCAGCTGTTGACCTTTAGATGTATCAAAAGAAAAGTCAAGGTTAAAAACCATAGAGGTGGCTATGATGGAACTAGCGAAAACCCCAATTACAGAAAAGCAGTTAAGAGGAACTACCCAAAACAATCCAATGTTAAGAGTGGTACTGAATAGAGTGTTAGAAGGAGGGTTAACGATGGAACCAAGTAAGATGAAAATGAAACCATTTGCATTAAGGTTTTCTGAGTTATCAACGGAAGGAGGTTGTTTACTGTGGTAAAGAACAGTGATAGTAGCAAGTGTGTTAAAACACATTTGCTACTATCAAGAGAAATAATAATAAGAGAAACGGTACTTGAGGAATTGCATGAGGTGCATCCCAGAGTAAGTAGAATGAAGGCTTTAGCAAGAAGTTATGTTTGGTGGCCTGGAATTGACACAGAAACAGAGGACAAAGTAAAGAATTGTGAGACATGTCAAAGAAGTCAGAAGAATCCATCAACCTGGTCTCATCCTTGGGAATATCCAAGTAGACCATGGGACCGACTACATATCGATCATGCAGGCCCAATGAATGGGAAAATAAATTTGATAGTAGTTGACAGTTTTTCAAAATGGATTGAGGTGGAAGTGGTGCACAGTACTGAAGCCAAAGCAACAATAAAGGTACTCAAAAGATTATTTTCAAACCATGGTATAGCGCGAGTTATCGTTAGTTACACCTCATTCTACAACTGGAGTTTCTCCAGCTGAACTTTCAGAAGACACGGTTTACGTCAGAAATTATAGTAATTATAGGTGAAAAGTGGATTGCAGCTATAATTATATCAGCAGTTTGGAATGTTAGTTACAAAGTGTTAACATTAGATGGTCGTATCCAGATAAGACATGTGGACCAAATTGTAAATCGTTGTGGGGGAAAGGTTAATGAAAGCTCTACTAAAATACCAGAAAGCATAAATACTCCAATTTTGAGCAATGTTGATAAACCAAATAAAGTGACTGAAACTCCATGTTTAAGCGAAATCTTGAGTGAACAGGCTGGTGCTTTTTCTGAACCAACTTCTTCAATTAACCGAAGATCAGATCGAGTACGTCGTAGACTGTCTTATTTAGAACAGTGCAAATGATTTATGTGTGGAGGATTGATGTAATTGCATAATCTGGTTCACGGTTATGTAGAATAAAGAAACATACAAGCGAGTTTCCAAAGGGTTGGGATATAATATAGAGAGACATGAAGCAAGAACTTTACTTGTAGTGTGATGTTACAAATAAATTACATATTGAGTTATTACAAAGAGTTGTTGTTATATTTAGTGGTGTTATTGTTGCTATTAGGTTATAACACTCAGAAGTTAGACTCTATAGATTTTTAGACTTAATCCAAATTACGTCTTCCATTCCATAAATCCAATGGCCATACTCTTCCTGCACTTCTAATTAAACAAGTTAACCCAATATTAGGTATCCAAATTACTCACTCAATCCAAATTACTGCTTCCATTTCTAAAGTCGTTTCTCAGTTAATCTCTTTTATGGCTTGTGGCCCAGACAAATTTCTGGCATAGTCTTACAAAAACAGTCTCTAGAACTCTCTTCCTTCCCTCCGAGCTATTTAATTAGTACTTGACTGAATCTTGTTTTCCTGTCTGCTGGAAAATGGCATCTTTCCAATTTTGAATAACTCTGGAGAACTCTCTGAACCCTTTCTGAGAATCAGTATGGTTTTTAATCTTCTTATTCTATAACTGACTTGCAAACTGCTTTAACTAAATGATTCTATCATAAATTAGTTTGATGCATTGAAGCAAAACCTATTGCTCTAGGCATATCAAAAGCTTTTGACAAAAAGACATCACTCTTGACATATCAAAAGCTTTCCAGGTACACCATATGAAACTTGCCTCATATGGGAGTAACAATATTAAAAGTACAACAAAAACCTTTTTTTTTTTTTTTTTTGTACTTTTATTAAATGATTTTTCAGGGTTAGACACAGTAAAATATATATGGTTAGGCACATTGAATATACCTAAGCAATACATGCAGAGTATACATACAATTGCAATAGCAAGTGACCAGTGTTCCAGTTCCAACTATAGATCTTTTTACAAACCCGATCTTGGAAAAATTATAAGATTTAGCAGGAGTTAATAGGTGGGGCTAGAAAATTTTTTTTATAAATTATATACTATAAGTTTATGCATGTATTTACTGTTTATTAAATACTGGCGCATAGTATGGATATATAGATATAAACATGTTTGCTATTTATTTAAATGCTGGCATACAATATCCTTACATATTTATACAAGATACTTGATTTAAAGTGTTGTCAAAATTGGCTAAAAAAATATTTTTCATTTTAGGTTAAAAAGAATGTTTTAACTTAAGATGGTTATTCTATGAAAACATGAATGATTTGATTAATACAAACAGGCAACTTTATAATACTTTTAACCATAATTTGACATAGTTGACTACTCTGTTATTATAAATAAATTCGGTTTTTGTAAAGGCACATTTGAAATATTTTGATTCCTTAATCAGAACATTTTGCTTCTTTAAAAAAAATACCTTGTAAAATCAACAGAAATAAATATTTTTTTTATTTTCACTTCCAATAAAGCTGTAAACAACCACTATTACAGTTGGAAGTTACTGGAAGAGAAAAGATGAAATTTATAAAGCTAATGATTAACAGACGACTTAAAAGATTGCAAATTACATGAACCAAGAAAACAAGAAGGAAGCAAGTTCCAGAAAACTAATGTTAGAGGGAAAAAACTGGGTTAATAAAAGTTTTTGGAATACTTAGGAAAAGTCACAGTAAAAGGATGAGATAGAATTGAATGATGAGTAACACAAGGATAAATTTTAGTAGATTGATTTTAAGAGATGCTAGCTCTTTAGAGCAGGGCTCATAGTATTTATAGAAAATAGAAAGAGAAGCAACATTATGACTATGTGACAATGGTTGAAGGTTGGCTGCAAGAGCAGGTCCAACTATGTTTACAATGCATTTTTGCACCTTGTGTAAAAGAGAAAGGGCCAGCATGATGAAGAGATGTAACCATAGCAGATGCTAATTTTGCATTGGGTTTAATATATGGTTTCCAAGAAAGATCAGAAGTAAGAGTTAATCCTAGAAGATGAAGG